ATGATTAATAGGCGCCTCATCAACGCTTTCAGAGCTGCTCTGAACTTGATGGAGGTCTCTGAATTGCGGCTGCATGGAAGGCGTTTCATTTGGACTGGCACCTGTCAGCAGCAACCCGAAACCAAGATCGATCATGTTTTTCACACCGCTGAGTGGGGTCTTCTATTCCCCCAGTGCCTCCTCCAGGCCGTTACTTCTTCTGTCTCGGACCACTGTGCTATGATCCTGACGGGGCAGCTCAGCTGTGCAACCTTCAAGGGCTTCCGTTTTGAATAGTATTGGACGAGAATTCACACCTTTCAGGACTCTGTTTTGGCTTCCTGGACCAAGCCAGTGTTCATGTGCGATGCTGCTCGTATTCTCCACTTCAAGCTGTCAAGGACTCAAGGTTGGTCAAGGCTCTTCACATCTGGAGCAGGGCTTGCGTTGAGGATTACTGTCCGACCAGTCTGATACACTCTGCAAAAAAATTGTGCAACTTACTCGCCAACCGCCTTACTCCTTGCCTGCATGACATCATCCCCAACTCCCAGAGTGCTTTCAGCAAGCGGAGCATGATTTATGATAATATCCTATATGTCAGAAATGTTGTCCGGCGTCTCCACAAGACAAAATGCCATGCCCTTCTTCTCAAGCTTGATATTGCGGGTGATTTCGATTCGGATTCTTGGGAGTTCCTTCTTGAGGTTATGGAGAGACTTGGCTTCATCGCTTGCTGCGTGACTTGTTGGCGCTGCTTTGGAACTCTTCTTCTTTGAAGATCTTGGCTAATGGACAAGTTGGAAGGCGCTTTCTCCATCGTCGAGGCCTGTTGGAAGACCCTCTTTCCCTGATGCTTTTCACCATTGCCATTGTTCCTCTCCACTAGCTTTTTGCCGAAGCTGCTGCTTCACATGTGCTGTCTGACCTCAACCTACCTCCATCAAACTTGAGAGTGAGCCTATATGCAGACGACACAGCTCTATTCATGAAGCCCTCGGCCGATGATATCACTACCACCAGCCAGCTCCCGCTGCTCCCCGGCCTTAGAGTCCAGAAAAGTGCAATAAATCCTAGGAGTATTAGCTACACAGATATTGATCTGCATCAACGCCTACAGGAATTCCCGGTCCCTATCTGCAACTTCCCATGCAAGACTTTGGGCTACCCCTACACTTCAAGAAGATTTCCAGGGGTGACCTGCAGCCCATCATTGATAAAATGGCTTCAAAGCTGCAGCTTTGGTGAGGCAAGCTTCTCTATGCATCCGTTCGCTTTGTGCTGGTCAACGTCGTTCTCTCTGTCATTCCAATTTTCATGCTAACTGTCTTCAAGCCGGGCAAATGGGCGATCAAGCAAATTTATAAACTGCGCCGAAACTTCCTGTGGCGGTCCAGTCCTGACTCCCATGGCGGCCTGCCTCTGGTGAGCTGGAAATCTGTTTGTAGGCTCAAGAACCTTGGGGGCTTGGGGATTATGGATATTCACAAGTTCATCAGTGCTTTGCGGATTCCTTTGAAGTGGTCGGAATGAACAGATCCGAACACGCCTTGGCATGGCAGTGGCACTGAGCTTCCCAGTGACAAGGATGACTCTTGTTCGACGCCTCCAACTCTGTTCAGCGGGGCAATGGCAGGAAGCGAACTTCTGGAACTCCCATTGGCTTTATAGTCAGGTTCCTCGGCTTCTTGCTCCTGATCTCTTCCAACTTCGCCCTCGGAAGAACATCTCAGTGGCTGACGGTTTGAACAGTGGGAGATGGATGCGTGGCTTCCACAGAATCGTCAACGCCAATCAGCTTCGACAGTTAGCAAATCTTCTTGCTCCTGATCTTTTTCTTTGTTACAAGTTCTGTAACTTGAACTATTTCCCTCCTATGTAATGCATTGGCAGTACAACTGCTACTTTACCTAAAAAAAAGCTATAAATTCATTGGACAAAAACTGTTCAAATAAAAGCTTAACACAAAAAACCGTTTTGCAAATACGATGGCAAAATCCAGAACCGTTCAATTAAAGACGGGTTTGATTTGAAGATCCAACGATCACAAAGTTGCGCAAATTATTACATAGCCAGAATGGTCTCATGAAAATCAAATCAAGGCAAGAATTTATTCATCCTTGGGCTTCAAGGTATCCCATGTCTTGTTCCAGTAGTAGTGGATGAACTCCCACACATACGGCAGCGCCAATGATACTCCTGCGAAGATGAGCCCAAAAATTGCGAGGAGAATCCTTATTGCCATCTTCCCAAGGTACAACTTAAAATCTGCAGTCATGCCCCTATTGCCCTCGGAAACAATGTCCGCTCTGCACCAGATAAGAAAATTAGAGTTCTTGAAGCACCGACAAATAGGAAACCTAGATAACAGACGCACATAGGAGTTGCGGGATACATCTTCCTATAGTTGTGGAAACTTGAGCCAATAACAGTAGCATCAAGTTGACATTGACAACAAGATAGCAAAATGAGAATGACATCTTCCTAGTAGTTGTGGAAACATAAAAACAACATGAAACTGACATTGGCAGCAAGATAGCAAAATAGGAGTGACAGTCCATGCATGGTATATGAATGATTCACAGCAACTACATGACCCTTGGCATTGGAGAAGGAGCTGCTTACTTCATGGTGGTGCGGGAGTCCTTGACCTCCTGGTGGACCTTCACGTTCTCTTCCAGCACCCTGCGGGACTCTGCAACGAGGTCCTTGCCACTGATCAGCTCCCTCCTGGCAGTGGCACCCACCCACAGCAATCAGTATTTCCACGGTTACAACATGCAACTGGCTGGATCCAAGCAAGGGAAGAGAAAAGATGAATCGAATGTACCTCATGTCCTTGACCTCTTGGAGGAGCATGGAGCTGTCGTCCTGCAGCCTCCGTTGCTCAGCCATGAAATCATTCCTCAGTTGGCTGATCATGTAGATGATGTAGTTCTCCTGGCCAGGCAGGAAGCCGGATGCGGCAGCACCCATGGCTGGCACATCGACCCTGTTCATTCATTTAACAAAGGGAACATGCAGAGTACTGTTTAATCAGCGATGGCATGGCAGGATCTCGAAGCAGCACACATGCACGTACGCGTAGCAGCCTGAATGCCTGATCGATCTGCATCAAACGTGTGCGTGCGTGCGTGCGTGCCCAAGACATGTGGCCTACGGTGTACTGCTACTACATGCGTGTTTAAGACATGAAAAATCCAAATCTATCTCACAGAAAAACAACCGACTTGTTACAGCAGCTACCAACCTGCGAGACCTTCCCGTCAAAATTAATAAATGCGACCTATACTCCGAACAAGAAATCAACATGCGCCACTGTGCGGGACATGAAAATCAAACTTTCTTTCTTACGTTTCGGAAAAAAAAAGAGACTTTCTTTCTTGCTGTCATACGAAAAATCCAATTTTTAGTTATCCATCTGACCATCTCCATGGTTAAACCAAACTTTCTATGCGCTACGGTGTACATGCGTCCTGAAATCAAATTTTCTCTCTTCATCTCGAACGATTTTTTCCCCCGTTTTTTAGGCTATAATGTTAGATCCGTCTGAGTCTGACCAAATCCATCTCTAACAAAAACAAGCGCTTTCATTCTCAAAAAAAAAAAAACGCTTTCTACTCCGTATGTGTACGTGCATGTATGTTGACGAGCCCGATC